TCCTTCAGACTTTCACAAGGTCCAGAACGAGGTAAGGCCCGTAAGGGCTACTTTAGAGTGGGTACTCAGATTTTGAATGACCTGGGTGTGACTGACTAGGTTAATAAACTTTGGACGGACAAAATGGGAGGATACTAAACTAGCTTTCAGAATGAAGGGGACTGATGGGATACAGGGATTTCACTCACCTCCAATCTCCTTGGCATTTTTTTTTTGCGGATGCTAGCGGCCATTAGGCATCGGCAAGAGAACGAAGTCAGGGCTAAACTTGGAGAAGTGTATGAGAGGATGAGTCTGCAGCCTATGTCTGCTCACGTGTGAGCGGAGGACAGGGCGCGGTCAATGTCGCATTAGGATGAGCCCCATATCAGGAAGCCGGAACCTTGGGCAAAATGGTGAAAGGTACGGCGGTATATGGTAGAATGGCGACGGTTTTTGTAACAAACTATGACAGTATATGATAGAATGACGACGGAGGTTTTTAAGAAACTATCTTTAAAGCATGCAGGGTGGAGTATGAAGGTGCTGCAACACCCTTTCCTTCCAATGAGGTTGGCTGAATCAGCAGAGAGCATGTGAGATTAAGCAGTTGCATACTTCAAAGGCACCCTTGCAACGCTTAAATCGTTGTTGGACCTCAACACCAACCTATCTGGGGACTCCAGCCACTGGGTGAACTTATGGGGAAGGATCAATGCTCAGGACAGAATTCAGCTGGAGGCCCATATAGACATAAGGAGATGAAGGCAGCAGCAAATGTCATAGCTAGAGGAAGGGCGCTTGGCAGGGACGGACTTTGAGTTAAATTCTACCTTCAACATTGGGAAGTCCTGTCCGCGCACCTGTTTCCCCTCTACAATGCGGTACTAGCACGCCAACAGATTAGTCAATCAATGTCATACGGTATTACCTCAGTTCTGAACAAAAAGGGTAACAAGGCAGATATAAGGACTCGAAGACTGGACGGGACTGCTAGCAAACAAAGAAGGATTGAGCGCCCTCCAAGGGGGCTGAAGAGGCAGACCCCCTCTCGCATACTCTAGGCCAGGATGCCTTAACGGCAGAAGGGGAGGGTGAGAGCAGGTTCAGAACGGGAGGCTAGGGTTTAGGGTTTATGAAGGGTAAGGGACGGGGAATAGAGACCAACAGCGATAATAACCTTGACTGATAAGGAATGGGACTGCTAGTAAAGAAAGAAGGATTAGGCGCCCCCTGGGGGGCAGAAGAGGCAGACCCCCGCAGACCCCAGCTCATATGATCAGATTGTGATCAACGCTGTAAGAAGGGATACTGGACCCGGTTTCCAGCAGGTGCATCTCCCAACCAATAGATGGGGCACTGGAGGGCCTAGTAGGAGGGGATGGTCGTATCACCTCTCCTAATAGGAACCCCGGTTGTGTCCGCACACACACACACACACACACCAAAAAAAAAAAAAAGAAAAAGAAAAAAAAGAAGCCAGAATCGGAGATCGATCTCTCTGCTTTATGTTCTGTACAAGATTCTTGCAAAATTTTTGCAAGGAGATTATTAGAGCTCTCTGATTAATGTTCCGATCGGACGGCCTTCGTACGAGGCAGGTCCATCTTTGACAATATCATCACCCCACCGGAATTATTGGAACTCGTATGGAGAGACAATTTAGACCTACCAGTGATGGTGATTGGTCTTAAAGCACCAGTACATCGGCACCTCAGCCGTGGGTCTGACACCTCAAATTCTGGAGGTGTGAAACGAGAACAAGGCCGCCGATCAAAATTTATCGACGGCGGGCCCAGCATTTGACGTTTCGGCCTCGTTTTTTTGTGGCGAGAAATTTCGGACTGCAAGGCTGGGGCCGCGTACTTGTGGTTTAAAAAAAATGTATGACCAAGTCCATTGGGCCTACGCGATCACCACCCTTCAGCGTCTCGGTTTTGGTCCTAGATTTTGCAGAGGGGTTATAGGCCTTAACGGGACCTCCAGATCCTCAACGATCATGAATGGACACATTTCTAGGCCTTTCCCGCTTGCCAGGTCATAGAGGTAGGGATGCCCGCTAGCTCCAGTGATCTTTGTTTTTCAGCTTGAGGGACTGGTCTCCAACACAGCGCCGTATCGTTGGACAAAAAGCAGCACACGGTATGTAAGGTCAAACCTCTTGTGGGCGACTTCTTCGCTATATTAATAAAGAATAGTAATTTCCAACAGTCCCTAGGTGATCAGCTTCCATTAAAATTAGGCACAGACACTTCGTATTTTTTCTTTCCTTTTCTTTTGATACTGATAGGTAGCTGCACCTAGACAGGGCGATATCCTATAACATTCCCTTCGGCAATTAGAATGAGAAACAGGCCTTATCCCTATCGCCGCACTGGCCTGACCCGAGGTAATAGTGGCCAGATTCACTCCGCTTGAAGGACGGAGGGCTGTGCTCATGGCCAGAGGGAGGATCAGTGGGGCCTTCTTACCCAGATCAGATTGGTTCTAAGGCTGATCTTGTACGTCTGACTTGACACACTGCGGAGGGCTAGGCTGCTAGGCCCTCCGATGGTTTTCGGAACCCCGCGCCTGGCGCCCCAGCTGGGCCAAAATTTTGTTGCTGTTTGTCATAACATAAGTAGCGCTTCCAGGCCTGGGTGTACAGGTGGTTTGAGACACACTCCCACAGTCATCAAATCCCTCTCTCTGTCTGAAGTGTTGGCGTTTATACTTGTATAAATATTCTTGCACGTTAATAAGTGAAAACTTTTTTCCCATGTCTGGCGGTGGGCGCAGTGGACACAGAAGAGGGAGAGGTGGTAGGGCTTGCAAGGCTTTAGAAAAGGAGGTCACCGATTTCACATCTAAAAGGAGTGTGACATCAAATTGTCAATCCATGGTACCAATCATAAAAAAATAATGATAAACTTCAGCAAAGAAGTCAGAAAGCAACGCCAAAAAGTGGAATGGAGGCAGTCTTCCTTAAACCATCAGTCCTTCGCCCAGCTATTGGCCGTGGAAAAAAATAGAGTGGAAACATTTCTAGTCGGATGAATCCGGGTGCTGCTGTAGAGGTGCTCCTGTTTGTTTCCTTAAATTGTGACTAAAAAAAAAAAAAAGAACATCGACTGCGGGTGTAGAACGGGTGCTGATATGAGCAGACACCCATTTTACTAACATTGCCATTAGATGGCTCTTTTTTGGTGGGGAAGCTGCACCTGCTGGAAATCGGGTCCAGCTTCCCTTTACATCATCACAAATGAGCCAAAGTTACAGATTTTGCACGTCTTCTACATCTGCATCAGGTGAACCCCCCTTATGGAGCGGGTTCCCAGTCCCCGTATTTCTCCGGTGATCGGGCCGAGCACTGTTCCCCACACAGATCCCTCAGGGGAAAGTCACTGAGTTCCTCCCTGTATTTCTGCTGTCGGCTTTTCGGGAATCGTCACCCTGATGCCCTTCGTTGTTGATGCCCTCCTTCCTGCAGTCCTGTTGCTGACTTCAGTGGCCTCAGGATGTCCAGTCACCCTGTCGTCTGCAGCGGTGGTAGAGAAAGCGGGATGGTAGAGAATCAGGGAGAGGGAGGAGGCCGAGGAGGGGACGGTGCCGGGGCTGACGGAAGGGGTTGCTGCAGGGTGAGGGTGGGGGCTGTTACGTGGTGGGGGCTAGGAGGGATGAGCACGAAGTTGGTCGAAGGTACAGGACTGAAAAGTCATCCAGGGGTCTCCTTTGCCACGAGGGCTCATTCGCCCTCCAGTTTTTCAAGTCGTATGTTGAGGCCATCCAGCAGTTCAGAGACGGCTTCATGAGGATCCTGCCAGATCTGGGGCGGTAGGATTCCCGCAAGCTTCCCTGAGTGTGGGGTCTCTTTCGTTGTGATGGTTCTGCTTCATGCTTTTCCAGGCATGTTCCGTGTGGGACCTGATCTCTTCTTCTATCGCCTGTTGTACTTGCTGTAGACCAAACTGATTAACTTTTCTCTCAAAGCAGCACCTTCCTCTGCAGGCTTGCATGAGAACGTGCAACCTCATGTATGAGAAGAGATTAGTGGCAAATGGAGACCATTGTGCTAGCAGATTCTGATTTAATGGGCACAACTTTAGGAAGTACTGGTGGTTTAACTACGAATGTGACAATACCACAATAGGCTTTTTTTGACAATGTCGACAACGCAGGTCAAAGGTATCAAGAAACGATTTAAACACTTCCGATGGATCCATGTCGGTTTACGAACTGCTATTTTTTTAATAAAAGTTCGATTTGCTGATTCAACCTTCCCCCACATCAAATCCACACCTTACATCAAACCCTGTAGGCAAACGGCATTATGTTCTTCTGGGTTCCATTGAAAAGGCCCACTGGACACCAGTCCCACTTGCTTTGCTGCGCCGTGTGTCTCTCTGCTGGTCCTGGTGCATGCTTTCACTTCCCTCTTGCCCACTCGCACCTGGCTGTTACAAATCCTGGCTACCTGCCCGACCTTCGCTTCTCTCCTGCACCAGTTCTCCTACCGTAATTGCCCTGTGTTTGCCTTCTGCCTACTTTGCCTTGCCGGTTGTGTTGTAACCTGCCTTGCTGTTCACTCCCAATAGGGGGAAAGTAGACAATGACTCGAAGCTTCGAAGACTGTTCAGGTTCCAGCATCCTGACGAGTCAGTGAGTGCCCTGTTCTTGTTTCTGTCGAGAACAAACACCTATAACAAACCTCTTTTTCCAAGTGGTTTTGTTATGATGTTATAAATACACCCATTGTGGGCATGTTTACATGCTCTGCTATGATGATGCTCAACTGATTGGTGCATGGTGCACCACAAATGCGCAGGTGTAGTAATATCCCGCACAGACAACCCCCCCCCCCC